GACGTACAACTAAGAGCTAACCCCTGTCCTGAAGAGTTTCAAACACAGGTGTCACAGTGTAACTGTTTGACAGATGTATTTACACTTATAGATAGAAGAATTGAAAATGTAAGGACACGAGCATTGATAATGCCTGACATCAGAAGCATTTGGTTAATGATAGCAACCAGCACTAATTATCAGAATGTGGACAACAAATTTCCTGTGCAGGGTGAGTGTAGTCTGGTTTCCCCCAGTACGTCTTTCTAAATGGCAGCTTTATGTTTCAATCTGTGGAGATGTCTTTGTCTGATGTGTCTGTCGCTGCCAGATGGTCCTTGGCTGTGGTGAGGCTGAGCCAAGACAGGGAATGATGTCACCCCCTGGCATTCATCTTGAGGAGAGACTTCTAGGCTGTGAGGCTGGCATCTGTGGAGGGGAATTGGACAAAGAAGCCCTGTAATGCCAGATTTAGTATAGCCTTGAGGCCCAGAGCCCTTGCTGTATTAACCAGATCGAGAAATGAGCACATCTCCCTTGGCCATATTGAGGGATTATAGGTGTGTTCTACCTACAGACTCATGCCGGGACCTCTGTTGTCTCTGGGCACATCTACACTGCAGGGCAAAAGTCGAATTAAGCTACGCAACGTCAGCTATGTCAATTGCGTAGCTGTAGTTGAAATAGCTTAATTCGGCTTTTGGTGCTGTCTATACAGCAGGAAGTTGAAGGAAAAGCACTCTTCCCTCGACTTCCCTTACTTCTCGTGCAATGAGAGTTACAGGAGTTGGAGTAAGAAGCTGGCCATCTCAAAATTATTTCAAAATAACGTCTTGCTGTGTAGACACAGCCTCTGCGTCCTACAGAGAAACAGGAAAGAATAAAACCACAAGTTCAGCAAAACAAGACACAAAAGAAAATAAGAAAAGAATAGCCCAACAAAAAAACCCATTTTAAATATTATTGGACACCTCACAATATTAAAAACTCTCCTTCCCTCCTTGAGCATGTCCACATGAAGTGATCAGCGCAATACACTCTGGACACCAAGCCCAGAGTCAACCTACCAGTGATTCAGGGTGACCCTGACCAAGGTAACTACATTGAGAAGTGGTGAGGGGGTAGTGGTGTTAGTAGGACATTCACTCCTGCTCCTCATGCCACAAGCACAAATCCTCATATAAAACAAAGCACTCAACCTAAACAGCTGAAAATAGAATTATACATTATAGACTGTATGCACCATCATGCAGAATGCAGGAGAATGTGAGTAGGTTGATGGAAGTGATTAGAAAAGCCTTTCAAATGATGCCACACTGAAGACTAGGATTGCTTATCATAGGAAGGCAGTAAATAAGAGAGGGCATGTATATAAAACTAGGGGGTCACAAACTGTTACTTCAGTAGTCCAAATTTGTGGTACATGCCAGGGACTTCTTGCATCCCATAGAGTCCCTGTCTGCCACTCTCCCATCTCCCTCTGTTTCAGTGAATCACCACAACACGTAACTCCCAGCCCCATGCCAGGGGCTCTGTGTGCCCCTTCTCTTCTCCCTGTCCCCACCATTTAACCCCTTTTCTTTCTGCCTGTTGGCATTTTCAAACTGTATTTGGAGTATGGGCTTAGCTCAATTAGGGTGTGTTCTTATACTGAAAGTCCTAATGACTGCCATCAAATGTTTGTTTGATTGTTTGTTTTTGTTTTATCTGAAAGCTATTACAGGTGTGGTTGAAGTTGCTGAGCGTGCTAACCAGAGGCAAGGAGCTCCTGTGTATCCGCTTCCCCCCCTTCTGTTTTTCCAGTGTTCTCCCAAATCAGTAGGGTTCTACCCATTGATGCCTAACTTCATTCCCTGAAATTTTGGAGTTTATCAGATGTGTCATTCAAAAGCAATCATGTTATGTAAAGACAGACAGACAGCTGAGATTCTATGAAAGGACACTAGGTTGGGTGTTTCTGTTCTTCTTGGCTACGTCTAGACTACAAGCTTCTGTCGGAAGAAGCTTTTTTTGGAAGAAATCTGTTGAAAAAACATCTTCCGAAAGAGAGTGTCCACACTGCACAAGGGTAGACATATCCCTTGTGTCATAACAAAACAATTACCGTATTCAATGAAACTTAAGAGTAGTAAATTCAAAACTGATAAAAGGAAATGCTTTTTTATACTGCATTTAATCAATCGGTGGAACTCATTGCTATAAGAAGTTATTGAGGACAGTAATTTAGCAAGATTCAATGAGGAACTGGACATTTATATGGACAAGAATATTCAAATTTATAATATTTCATGTTAATAGTTTGAAGGGATAAGACACCTCCACTATCAGGCTTTGTCTGCATTGCAGGGTTTTTGTGCAAGAAGCTTTTGCAGAAGAGATCTTCCGCAAAAACTTTTTCTGAAAGAGAGCATCCACACTTAAAAGTGCATTGAAAAAGCGATCTGCTTTTTCGAAAGAGCGTCCACACTCATTGGACGCTTCCTCGCATGTGAGCTGTGATTACTATGGACAGAGTGGCCACCAGGGCACTTGTTCTTTTTCCTGGAGGCCTCTTCTTTAAAAAAAAAAAAATCCCTCTTTTGCATCCACACATGCCTTTTTCTGAAAGAGCCTTTTTGGAAAAGGCATTTCGCAGAAACGTGCTTGAGGTGTGGACACTCTGCCGGTTTTTGCACAAAAATGGACGTAAAAAAAGCCTTGTAGTGTAGACATAAGCTTAGTGTTTAATCCATTGTCTAACTATTGGGAATTAGGGTTAGACTTTGATAGGGAACAAATTAGCCACCCATCTGCATGTCCGCACATCTCTGACAGCTGCATGGAGCAGCACTCTCAAAGCAACTCAAAGGGCCCAAAGGCTCCAGCTGGAAGCTCCGGACCCCTTTTAATTTCCAGTCCCCAGGGTAATTGCCCTGCATACTTTTTGGAGCTGCTCAGTATTCATTTTTTCTTGCACTGCATCCTGTGCCACAGTACTATGGGATAGCTGCCCAGATTGCACAGTTCAAGAAGGTGACAAGCAGCATTCACAAACACAGGAGCTGTATTGTGCATGCTACTTGCTCTTTACTGACACAGGAGTTGTGTTGGGGAAAAAGCTTCTTTGAGGATTCAGCATGCTTGTCATGTCTGAATCAGATCCAAGTGTCATGAACTGGTTATAAAAACATAACTGTTCTTATGGGATCTGATTAAGAGAGAGTGTTTCTCTTCCATAGGATCATAGGACTGGAAGGGTCTCAAGAGGTTATCTAGTCCAATTCCCTGCAGGAGTAAGTATTATCTAGACTATTTCTAATAGGTGTTTGTCTAACCCGCTCTGAAAAATCTCCAGTGATAGAGATTTCACAACCTCTCTAGGCAATTTATTCCAGCAGTTAACTACACTAGCAGGAAGTTTTTCCTAATGTTCAGTCTAAACAGCCCTTGCTGCAATTTAAGCCCATACTTTTTGTACTATTTTCAGAGGTTAAGAATAATTTTTCTCCCTCTTCCTTGTAGCAATCTTTTATGTACTTGAAAACCTATGTCTCCTCCTAGTCTTCTTTTCCTCTGGAATAAACAATCTCAAATCTTTCAGACTTCTCTCAGAGATCATGTTTTCTTAAAACGTTAATCATTTTTGTTGCTCTTCTCTAGACTCTCTATTTGTTCATTTGTTTCCTGAAATGTGATGCCCAGAAATGGGTATAATACTCCAGCTGAGGCCTAATCAGAATGGATGTGAGCAAAACAATTACTACTTGTGTTTTGCTTACAACATTCCTGTTAATTGATCACAGAATGATGTTTGCTTTTTTTTCCCAACAGATTTACACTACGGCTGTGTCTACATTGGCCCCTATTCCGTAATAGGGATGCAAATGTAGCACTTTGGAATAGGCAAATCCACGGGGGATTTAAATATCCCCTGTGGCATTTGCAATGCCCTACCTACGTAGCTCTGTATAGATCATAAATAGCCATTCTTTCTCTTTTTAAGAAGTATTATTAATTGTTCTAAAATACTTTTAAAAGGTTAAAAAGCAAAAGATGTTTTACATCTGCACAAGGCAGAAATAGAGAAGGCACTGTGGACTCCTGGGCTGTGTCTACATTGGCCCTTATTCCGTAATAGGGATGCTAATGTAGCACTTTGGAATAGGCAAATCCACAGGGGATTTGAATGTAGGAATAAGAGATCTCAAAGAAAAGAGCTTATTTTCCGGAGGATCACTTTCATTAATATTTCTGGAGGGAACAAAAAACATTTCCTAACAAGATCTAGATGTTAACCCCCTAGCTACCACTTTGCTTCATAAGCAAAAATACATGCGTTCACGGACAGCCCCTTTGCTGGATAGATTTTGCTTCGGTGGGCTTTTTTTCAGCCACCAGGGACCCAAAGCCTGAGCTCTTTTGACTTGTGGAGAAATTTAATGCAGTTTCTCCACTATTTGTCTAGCACAGTATTTTCTGTGCTTTGTGTCCAGTGGTCATTGTTGAATTTAAAAGCTTAACATTTAAAAACGAGATTTTCCATTTGTGCTGTAAGTAGAATCTTCATAGGTGTGCAGTTGATTGTTCCTTCCTAAGCATTTGTCCCTACTGAATTTCATCCAATTTATTTCAGGCTATTTTGAATTTTAATTCTGTCCCTCAAAGTGCTTGCAAGTTGCAACCCCTCCCAGCTTGCTATCACCTACAGCTTTTGAGAGTGTGCTATCTATGCCATCATCTAAATCACTAATGAAGTACTTTTGATTACTTGGTAATTTACACAGTTTAAACAGGGTCCCCCAAAATATCTGTGATTCATTCCTCATGTGTGATGAGGTCAATGTTTAACCTCTTCATTGTGAGGGTTTTGAGGTCAAGAATTTAGAGGCATTTTTTCAGGGAGATAATTTTCCTTACGTTCATCTCTGCTTCCCTCATCCACAGCACTGTAAACTTGTCTTTTTTTAATGACCCTTCTTGATGTGGCAAATAATTTATTTGGTTCAGTAGATCTGTGTCATTCTTATTTACTTCATGTTCAAACTTTTGCTTTCCCTCAAGTGATTCAATTTTGTTGCTTCTGCTTTACTTGCAGCCTAGGGTGAAAGCCAGTTTCCAGTCCAGAGATCAGGCGGTGTCTTTTGAAGGCAGCAGCTGTGCACTCTTTCTGTTGTGCTTTGGTGTTTATAGCACTGCAGCAAGAGCTTCCCCAGGGGGTTTTGTCAAGTTGGCGTATCTAACTGGTGGTCGGCTTTATGACTGGTGAAGTGGAATGTGAAGCAGGTGAGCAGGCAGATGGAAAAGAGAAGGTGGGTGGACAGGCAGTTAATAAGGAGATTTCTGCTAGATGTGTGGGTTAGAATACAAGCTAGGCTGCAGTGGGAGGACTGTTCTGCTGACCAGGACTTCCTCGTTTGCTTCAAAAATCTGTGTTACTGAACCTCAGTGAGTGCTTTTTAAGCATGATATATTCTTTGCTGCTTAAAAAAAAAATCACCAATGGTGGTAGGAACCTGAACATCCAATTAGCCATTTGAACAGTGTGACTAAGGTCTCTCTTAATTCTAGTCATCTGAGCACCCATAAACAAACCTGACTGAGCTAGAGTGAAGGATCAATCCATCTCATCTTGGATATGATTAACATAACGTCTCCACAGATTTAATCTGGAAATAGAAACTGAGCTAGAGTGAAGGATCAATCATCTCATCTTGGATATGATCAACATAAAGTCTCCACAGATTTAATCTGGAAATAGATTTGTTTATATTGGAATGCGGGACTCTAATTTAGGACAGGTCCATACTAAACCAGAAGGTCAGCTTAATATCTGCATCTCCAGCTATGTAAATAACATAGTTGGAGTCAATAGACTTTAAGCTGAATTTCTCTGGCCGTCAACGGGAGAAACTCTCCTGTCCATTTCCCATAATCCTTGCAACGGCAAGGAGGTCCAGAGTTGACGGAGGTTCCTTCAGCATTCGATTTAACAGGTTCTTACTTGTCCCACTAAATTGAACACCGGAAGATCGACCTCTGCTGTGTTACTCCTCCATTTGGTGTAGATATGGCCTTGATGTGTTAGTGAGCATGAATGTGATTCAGCAGAAAGAGTGCACATCTATAATATCCATTCATTAGAAATTCTCTCTTTGGACAATTATTTGCACAGGCCCCCTCATTTAATTTAAATTCCTCTTAATTTGGAGAAAGAATGCAAAATGAAGATTATGAGCTGCTATTAATAGATATGGAAGGGTACGAACGCAACTGCAGTGTGGACGTTCCTCAAGTTTTGTTGAAAAAATGGCCGATTTTCCGACAAAACTCTAGTGAAGACATACCCCTTATATCATAACAAAACAACTAAGATATTTAATGAAACTTAAGAGTGGCAAATTCAAAACTGATAAAAGGAAATGCTTTTTCATACTGCATATAATCAATCTGTGGAACTCATTGCTATAAGAAGTTATTGAGGACAATAATTTAGCAAGATTCAATGAAGGACTGGTCATTTATATGGACAAGAATATCCACATTTATAATATTTCAGTTAATAGTATGAAGGGATATGACCCGTTCACTATCTGTGTTTAAGCCATTATCTAACTATTGGGAATTAGGGTTACTTTGACGGGGAACAAATTAGCCACCCATCTGCCTACTGGGGTTCTTTCACCTTTCAACAAAGCATCTGCTGCTGGCAATAAGGTGCACCCTTCACAGACATATTCTTAGTGCCTCATATTTGGGGTTTCATGGTAGCCAACTTTAAGAATAAATACATATTGGAGAATTCAGCTCATATTTGAATGTATGGTGGGCCCAGTTCTGCCCTCAGTTCCCCTATTTACCCTCCATTCAAGTCAATTAATTTTTATCAGTATAAAAATGCTGTGACATCAGAATCAGGCCAGAGTACATTTGAAGGTTATCCATATTATATAAAACACAGTAGCAGACTTACCCAACATTGCCCAGATCTGTCAGGCAGGACCTTGTGGATGTGGGGTGTGTGCGCAGGAGGCTACGGACCAGGGGTCCCTTCTCTTACCCTCTCCTGTGTGCACAGGAGGCTAGAGACCAGGGGTCCCTTCTCTTACCCTCTCCACAAGGCACCCCTCTAGCTCTGCCCCAGTGACCACTCTCATATTGCGTCCTTGGAATAGCAGCCCCTCCCTTTGCAATTATGGAAAACTGTCCTTTCCCCAGGGCTTCCAGTTGCCTTGGTACAACCAGATCCTAACCTTGCTTTAAGTTAGGAGAAGAGGAAGCTGCATACCAAATTTGGTGACCCTAGCTGTTATCATTTAGCAGGCATTCTTGAACAAACAGACTCACAGACAGACAGACAGATACATTCTACTATATATATATTGTTTTAATATACACAGCCAAAGCTGTTAAGAAAATTACACATAATAAATATGTACCAGTAATGCCTTGCAGAGAATATAGTATTTTTTCATAAGGTCACCATCTGCCTTGAATATTTATGTGGGTTTATTACACTTTTATAAAGGCCATGTTCTCTTGCAAATAGAATAATGGCAGTACACAGCACATTTTTGCTGCTTTCACCGCAGGATTTCTTGAAGCAGATGTCTGCTCCAGGGATGGAACATGGATGTCAAAATTGTAAACACTGATTTGTGTTTGTTTCTTTGCCAGATATTCCTGCCTTCATCATGAAGCTGGCTCAGAAGAAAGAAAAAGATGTGTAAGAAGAAAGCTTTAAGCTGGTTTTGGAGGGATGGAATTGTTTAGCTAACATGAAACTAGTATTCTCATCTTTGTCTTCAGTGAAATTGTGGTAAAGTCTGATTATAAAATATGCTATATGTATTTTTTTAGAACTGACTGGGAACAGGAATTTCAGTTTTGTGGGTAAGTCCATGGTTCTGACATTTGTTTTCATTCCAAATCATAAGAACATAAGAATGGCCATCCTGGGTCAGACCAAAGGTCCATCTAGCCCAGTATCCTGTCTGCCTACAGTGTCCAGTGCCAGGTGCTTCAGAGGGGTGGACCGAAGACAATGATCAAGCAATTTGTCTCCTGCCATCCATCTCCAGCCTTTGACAAACAGGGGCTAATAGCCTTTTATGGACCTAGCCTCCATGAATTTATCTAGCTCTTTTTTAAACTCCGTTATAGTCCTAGCCTTCACAGCCTCCTCTGGCAAGGAGTTCCACAGGTTGACTGTATGCTGTGTGAAGAAGAACTTTCTTTTATTAGTTTTAAACCTGCTATCCATTAATTTTATTTGATGTCCTATAGTTCTTATATTATGGGAACAAGTACATAACTTTTCTTTATACACCCTTTCCACACCATTCATGATTTTATATACCTCTATCATATCCGCCCCCCAGTCTCCTCTTTTCTAAACTGAAAAGTCCCAGTCTCTTTAGCCACTCCTCATATGGGACCCGTTCCAAACCCCTAATTATTTTAGTTGCCCTTTTCTGAACCTTTTCTAATGCCAAAATATCTTTTTTGAGGTGAGGATACCACATCTGTACACAGTATTCAAGATGTGGGCGTACGATAGTTTTATATAGGAGCAGTAAGATATTCTTTGTCTTATTTTCTATCTCTTTTTTAATAATTCCTAGCATCCTATTTGCTTTTTTGACTGCTGCTGAACACATTTTCAGAGAACTATCCATAACTCCAAGATCTCTTTCCTGATTAGTTGTAGCTAAATTAGCCCCATCATATTGTATGTATAGTTGGGGTTATTTTTTCCAATATGAATTACTTTACACTTATCCACATTAAATTCCATTTGCCATTTTGTTGCCCAATCACTCAGTTTGGTGAGATCTTTTTGAAGTTCTTCACAGTCTGCTTTGGTCTTGACAATCTTGAACAGTTTAGTATCGTCCGCAAACTTTGCCACCTCACTGCTTACATCTTTCTCTAGATCATTTATGAATAAGTTGAAATCAAATCAAATCATCATATTTTGAAATTTTCCACAACATGAAATATTTTGGAAAAATGAATTTAGATAAGGGGAAAAAAGTTTCATTTTGTTTTTTTAAATTTTGTAACATTTCAATATAATACAAATTTCAAAATAAAAAATCGAAACTTTCCATTCTAATAAGATCGGCCTTAAAAAAAATCCCACATTGTGATTGGTTTTTCTAAAACTTGTGTCAAAACTTTCCCAAAGACTGCTTCAATACAAACAAAGTCACTTTTTCAAAGACAAAACGTTATGGGTATGTCTAGACTACAGGGTTTTGTCAACAAAAGTGGACTTTTGTCAAGAAAACTATACCTGCATCTACACTACCACTGCATTCTGTCGACAGAGCGTCAACAGAACTCGGCAGATTTGTCAACGGCGGTAAACCTCATTCTACGAGGAATAACGCCTTTTGTCGACAGAGTTCTGTCTACAGAAGGCGTTATTGCATCTACACTGTCCTTTGCATCTACACTCTCATGTCGACAAAGCGGCTTGCTTTGTTGACAGAACTGGATGTAGTCTAGATGCTCTTTGTTGACAGAAGCTTTGTCGACAGTATGTGTCGACAAAGCCTCTGTCGACAAAAGCCTGTAGTCTAGACATACCCTGTGTGTGAACTTTTTTGAAGTGCTCTAGTTTATTTTATTTTGATTGTTGTTGCTGTCGATTTAGTGACAGTACTTTTGTTTACAGTAAGTATTGTGATAAATAACTACATGCCAATTAAGACTTCAGTCATAATTACACTGTTATATTGTCCGTGTAGGGAGGATGTTTGGTCATGTGATAAGGCAAGCCTTGGCATGGGCACCCTTCTGCAGCAGACTTCAGCACAACTGGTGCATCTGCCTCAGTTTCTCTTTTCTTCTGGAGTCCCTATAACTCTTCAAGTTTTCAGAGTATGAATAGCCCTTTTCAGGGATAATTTATTACAAAAGGCTCCACAGCCATAATCCCCTAGCACAGTCCAAACAATACAGTTACTCTTTCAGATCTCTACAGTCCATCAACTCCAGCATTTCTCACCATGCCCCAGCTTCCATTTACAGTTCTGATGCCTCTCACCATGCCCCAGCACTCTGACAGGGCTCCATCTTTCCTCACTGTGCCTCACCCTAGCTCCTCCAGGGAGGGTACTTCTCTGCCCTGTTATTCTTCTCAGACACAGTTCCCTTACCCAGAGACACCAGAAAGCTCAACCCTCCAGCTTTGCCTTGCCCTCAGCCCTCTCTGGTCCTCTGTCCTCAGCTTTCCAGCCCAGAGAGTCAGCAGGTAGATGCTGAGCTCAGCCTTCAGCCCTTTCTGGCCATGGCTGTCTGGCCTGGAGAAGTTTGTCTGTAATCACCCCCTTGCCTATCCTTTGTTTTCACTAGCAGTGTTTGGCTCCATGGCTCATGAGGGAATTCTCACCACTCCTTTGTTCTGGGGCATCCTCTCACACGCTATCAACCCAGCCCTGCTCTTTCTCCGACCTCGTTCCCTTTCAGGCAATTCTGAGGACTCCTCCATCTTTCCAATTCTCTCAGGTTCTTCTGACCCACCAGATCTCTGGACCATCCCGTCTTCTCCCTTGTAGTACCCAGAGAGTCAACTGATTCCTTACAGGGCCAGTACGACCCCATAGCAGCCTGACTTTGTGGGTTGCCTGCTGCAGCATTTTGTCTTTCTTGCAACACTGCTGCTGGTCCCTGTCATACCCTTTCTTCTGCATCCCCTAAGCAATCAGCTCATAGATACCAGTGTTTCTATGGCTGAATCAGAGCTGTGCCTGCAAAGCCTCTTCTCCCCAAAGGCCCAGGGGATTCAATATCTACTGTCTGTTCCAGGCAAGAGTGCATTTGGGGCATGGTTAGCTGGGCAGTGGCCCTCAACAATGCAAAGCTACCAAGTGTGTTTGCCAAGCTGGCCAATCAGGAAATGGAATGTGTTGGAGGGAAGGGGCTTCTAGTTTCCCCTGGGCAGTGGAATCCACAATGGTGACCAGAGGTCAGGGTGGGGCAGCCAGTAGAGGACAGTAAGGGTCAATGTAAGTAATGTAGTGTCAACACCAGGGGTGGGAAATAATTTTAGAAGGGGGGGGACACTTCACAAATTTTTGAAGTGGCCCCAGGAGGGTCAGGGTCTTGGGCAGAAGGGGCAGGGCCAGGATACTTCTGTGCTTCCCCACACACAGCCCCTGATTGGCGTGGGGGTGGGAGAGTGCATGAAGTCTTTGCGCCCACTCTCCCCCAGGAGAGAGTCACCAGCTGTTCTGAACAGCTGGTGGTTCCCTTGAGGCACTTGCACCCCTGGCAGAGGGAGGAGATGTTGCACGCTCCCTCTGCCCCCAGGTCAATCAGGGCCAGGAGGGTGGGGGAGCATGTGAAGTCTCTCTCACCCTACCCTGCAACAGGCATTCAGTGCTTAGAGTGAACCGCCAGCTATGATTGGCCTAGGGACGGGGGAGCAGCAGGGCATCCGTGGGCCGGATCCAACTTGCAGAGGCTCTCTTGCCTACCCCTGGTCTACACTCACACTGTGTCAACCTACTTATATTAACCAAAGCTCTGTCTTGCTGAGGAAGATGCTGTTACTTTGGGGCACTTACATTGGTGGGAAACAAAATTAAATGTGGACACATGCCCAGGCACACTGATGTCAGGTGCCTTGCATTGATTGAACTTAGTACTGTAAACCAGGCCTAAGTCCCCTTTTCAAAGGTGACACAGGTGAGATTTTCAAACATATTTATGTGAAAAGATGGAGATTGTATCCTAGTGGGATTTTCAGTAGTGCCCCCACCCAAGTGAAATGCTTAACTCCTTTGAAATCCTGGAATTGGAACTAAAATAGGAACTAGGTCCCTAATCTGCTTTTGGAAATCCCACTAGGTTCCCAGCTGCATCTTTGTAAATCTGGCATTTAAGAACCTAAATCTCATTAAAAGTCAATGAGACTTTGGTTCCTAAGAGTGCATCTATACTGTGGGCTAAAGTCGAGTTAAGAGATGCAACTTCAGTTATGTTAATTGTGTGGCTGAAATTGAAGTAGCTTAACTCGACTTTTGGTGCCATCTACACAGCAGGAAGTTGAAGAAAGAACACTCTTCCCTTACTCCTCCTGAAATGAGGGTTACAGAAGTTGGAGTAAAAAGCCCATTATTTCGAAATTATTTCAAAATAATGGGCTTGCTATGTAGATATGCACTCTGTTATTTTGAAATTGTCACTTGACAATTTTACCCATAATCTTTAGTTGTAATGACTAACAAGAACATTTATTATTTTGTTTGAAAGATTATATCCTCTGGAGGCTATCCACATATTTTGTTTAAATATCTGTGTGAGACACCTTCCAACTGCACCTTCTTTATTACTTTAGAGAAGCAAAATATTTAACTTACCAGTTCTGGATAGAGATTTCCAATAAAGAAGTGTGAGATGAGTCATAAAGCATTTTCTACTTTGACCATTACAGCTGAACTTCTGACAGCTTTTGATCAATATACACGTCTCACACATCTCCAGCACAATCTGTAACAGATCTATTGAGATGGTTAAGATCATTCATGTTATTCATAAAAAAATCAAAATAACTTTTACTAACCATGTGTCTAAGCTGGCATACAATATGACAGATATTGGAATATTTTTCACACACTTTTGTGCCCATGCATTTAAAACTGATTTATTCTGCAGTTTCAGACTTGTCTGCAGAGAAAAAAGAACAATCAATGCCAATTTTGTAGTTCAGAAACCTAGTATAGAGATTGAATGAAACCATGAAACCTGTCTTTAATAGTAATTCAATGGTGATGTGAGTCCAGGACTCTGAAAGTGTCTCCAATATGTCATCTTGTCCCCATCCTTCCCCTATTACTTCACAAATCTTGATTTTCTTTTTTGGACACATAAAGGACATTTACAGGCATGCAATTATAAAAGCATCTCTCATGAAAAAGAAATAGATTCATTTCCTAGTATGCTACTAAACCTAAACAGAAAACACAGAAAGATCAATTGGAATTGTAGTTGTACAGTACAAAAATGGTTTTAAAAAATAAAGCTAGTCTACATTAAACAAACTATTCATTAGATTGGGTAGCAAATTCTGTCACTGAAAGTCTCTTTAGATGTTTGTCATAGATATTATGACAGTGTTCTCATTTTTTACTGCAGAGCGCAGTACCCCCTGCATAATGGGACAGCAATACTGCTTGTACTATCAGATGCAAATTTTGAATGATATGTTAATAAGTGTTTGTTTTTAAGAGCCAAAATGACTGCTGTTATTAAAACAGTCCCACAAGAAAGAAGAACATAGACAAAAATCTGTTGCCTTCCTGCAAGAGAATCCAATCATATGGTAGAGCATTCTAAAGAACAACACAGTAAAATAAAATAAACTCAAAATCCCATAAAACAAGTCCTGAGGCACCTTAGAGACTAACAAAATATAGTATGATGGTTTTGGTAGTCTCTAGGGGCACGTCTACACAGCAGGATTATTTTTAAATAACTGAGCGTATACACAGCAAGCCCGTTATGTCAAAATAATGTCAAAACAACAGGCTTCTTATTTTAAAATCTGTAAGCCTCTATATAGGAGGAATAACGCCTATTTCAAAATAGCTATTTCGGAATAGGGTGTGTGTAGACAGGGCAGCTGGAGTTATTTTGAAATAACTAGCCTCCAGGGCTTCCCACAGGTGCCCTGCTGGCCACTCTGGCCACACCCATCAGAACTCTATAGTTCCCCTTCCCCTGCAGCCCTTAAAGCTGTCAAAGAAAGATACAGTAATGAAGTTTACTCCCCTCCCCCCCAGCCCATCGGAGGAAGCTCATCATAGAGTTACCAATCCAGACAATGGGTGAGAGACAGGACATAACACAGTCAATGGTACTAGGAACAAATGCTTACTGTCTCTGCTTTAATCTCCAGTTGCAACACGAATGGATCACATCTGTGTAAAGATACCTTCCTGAAGCTAACAGACACATCGCCACTTAACACATAACTGTCAATTGCTGTCTGCTTTAAGTACGTGTTTAGCTAGATATAGGGTATCCTGTAAGCTATGGGTGGAAAACACTATGTAACCTTTAGATTATTGCTCTCATTTTGCCTCACTGCTAGCACCTATCCAGGAGGTCCGGGATCTGCCCCCCATCACTTCATCCGCCCATCAGCATCTTATATAATCCATTGTAACCTATTGTCTGGCAGTGTTTTCCAAGCCTAATAAGTGAAGTGACACTCCACCAGTGCTGTTAATAAACCCTTCTGCTTCCTTCATACATGGTGTCCAGACTCTGTTCCAACACCCAGGAAGACCTGCAGTGGGCACACATCACCAGCCTACGTGCCCTGTAGTGCCCCCTGGACCAGCAGGACCACAGACTGGAGGTGGACCTTGAGCTGCACCAAAACACCTGGCAGGAGCAGCTGCAGCAGAGCCAGACCATGTGCACGGCTTTCACCGCCGCTCTCAACCACCTGATGGCCACTCCTGATCTCACTCCTGCTCCACACCTTCTCTCCTTACTCCCCCCCCCCGTGGCCACCAAGAGCCCCCACACAAGAGGCAGTGGGTCCACCTGAGCAGGAACCAGTACCAGCCCCACCCCTGAGCATCTCCTCCCCCCTCTTCCTCCTCCTTCCACTTCCCTCCCCCTTCCCAGGTTCTTTCCCCAGTCCCTCCCCAGTTACATTTATCCCAATTGAACAAAACCAGCTTATTCTTTCAAAAAAAAAAGTGTGGTTTATTGTGTTTGCAGGGGAGGAGGAGGGAAAGGGAGAGAGGGAGGGCAGAGGAACGGAGGGGTGTGGGAAGGAAAGGCACGCTGGGCCACTGCATAGACTCCTTTTGGGGAGGCCCAGGGGAGAGTCTTACAGCTGGCTCAGGCTGAAGGTCTCCCTCAGGGCCTCCTGGATGCACACAACCCCTTGATGGGCCTGCCGGATAGCAGCTGTGCATGGCTGCTCAAAGGCCCTGGTGAGCTGCTCAGCCTCTGCCTCCCACCCTGGCAGGAACATCTCCCTCTTGTTCTCACATATATTGTGGGGACACAGCAGGGTCTGATCACCAAGGTCCAGCCGGGTGAGGAGGCAACGGACCCTCCCTTTCAGATGACCAAAGGCATCCTCCACAACAATAAGGGCCCTGCAGAGCCTGCCGTGGAAGCGTTCCTTGCTTTGGTCAAGGTGTCCGGTGTAGGGCTTCATTAGCCAGGGGAGCAGAAGGTAGGCTGCATCCCCTACAGTGCACATCAGCATGGCCATGTCCCTGACCCTGATGTTGTGGTCAGGGTAAAAAGTGCCAGTGTGGAGCTTCTGGAATAGGCTGGAGTTCCTGAAGATGCAGGTGTTGTGCATCTTTCCCAACCACCCAACGCTGATGTCTGTGAATTGGCCGTGGTGGTCCATGAGGGCCTGCAGGACTATCGAAAAGTACCCCTTGTGGTTGATGTATTCGGCTGCTCAGTGATTGGGGGCCCGGATGGGGATATGGGTGCTGTCAATAGCTCCCTAGCAGCAGCCCACGGCGGCATGCTGATGACCCTCACCACCTGTAAAAGGAGACAAACAGAATTACAGGCTTACCAGGGTCCTTGGGAGGGCCCTGAGCCCAACCCCCTGCACAAACCAGTAGCAATCCCCACTTACCCCACTCCCCTGGCAGAGCTTTGTGAAGACAGGACTGAAAAACCTCCCGGGGAGGGGACTTCCACCCTCCCATTGCCTGGGGTGTGTCATTCCAGCAGTTCACCGCCTCCTTGGGACAATAGCATGAGAGAGTCATACCTGCATGAGCATGGCCCTGACGGTCGATCTCCCCATGCCAAACTGGTTCCCCACAGAGTGGTAGCTGTCTAGTGTGACGAGCTTCCAGATAGCGATGGTGATCCACTTCTGGAGGGGGATGGTGGGTCGCATGTGGGTGTCCCATCACATGAGGGCAGGGGCGAGCCACTCACACAGCTCCATGAAGATGTCCTTCCGCATGCAGAAATTCTGGCGCCACTGCTAGTTGCTCCACAGCTCCATGATGATCCGGTCCCACCAGTCAGAATTGGTGTCCCGTTGCTAAAAGCAGTGGTGCAGGGAAGGGCGGGAGGGGTCATGCGTCATGAGCGGTGCGTGGAGAGAGAAGAGGAGGTGCCCCACAATGAGCTGGAGGTCCTGTTCCTGCAGTGCCACAAGGGCATCTTGCAGAAACTGCAGCAGGAGGTGTGGCATGGAGGGCTAAGAGCCATCAACTGCTTGGAGGCAGGTCCAGCTCCATGGCAGGAGTGCTGTGGTGTCTGCAAGGGCAACCAAATCAGGCAGAAAAAAAAGCTTTGCTGCCCCTCAAGGAAGTAGGCAAAGGAGAAGAGCTGAGTCACAGCTTTACAGGGGGGTCCCTTTAAGCAAGAATCTCAGATAGCCTCAGGAAGCAGCTAAGGGAAGTGACTGCTGTCCTGATGCCTTGCCTGAAGTACTTCCAGGTGGCCTTAACTGCAATTCAGTGTCCAATGAGTGTGGATGCTCTGTTTCAAAATAGCTCAGTTCTATTGTGATGGGCATTTGCTGTGCAAATATATATACAATGATATAAATACACAATTTATAAATACAAATATAAATTTCAAAATAAGCATGCAACGTAGATGTACCCTAAGGTGACACAGGACTGCTTGTTTTTAAAGTTACAGACTAACATGGCTACCAAATGCCATGGCATTTAGCCAGCTGTAACCCAGGATAAATGTATATTTTGTTTCCGGTTTGACAGTGCTACGATTGTGGTGAAGCTTTCTATGGGAATCCTCAAAATGGGGGAGCCTCCTTGTGTTCTCTCACCTTGGATTCCCATGTAAGTCCCAGCCACAATCTGACTCAGGTGATCACTGAAACACTAGGGCTGTGTCTACAGTGGGCCACTTATTCCGGAAAATCAGCCGCTTTTCCGGAATAAGTTGCGAGCTGTCTACACTGGCCCTTGAATTTCCGGAAAAGCAATGATGCTCTACTGTACAAAATCAGCTGCTATTCCAGAAAAACTATTCTGCTCCCGCTCGGGCATAAGTCCTTATTTTGGAACACTGTTCCGGAAAAGGGCCAGTGTAGACAGCCCAGTAGTCTTTTCCGGAAAAAAGCCCCGATCGTGAAAATGGCGATCGGGGCTCTTTTCCGGAAAAGCGCGTCTACATTGGCCACAGACGCTTTTCCGGAAAAAGGGCTTTTCCAGAAAAGCAGCCTGCCAATGTAGACACTCCTCTTCCAGAAAAACTGAAAACGGAATAGTATTCCGTTTTAAGCAGTTCCAGAAATTCATGCCAGTGTAGACACAGCCCCCAGTTGACATCACCATTCTAATGGAGGTGACGCAAAAGCTTCCATTGATTTCACTGGGGCCAGGGTTTCACCTAGTGTCTGTTTTAGGACTCACTGCTGTCTGTGACAGATTCTATTTTTACAGAGAGGACACAAAAGAGTCAAGCAAAGGAGAAAACATAGGTATTGGCCAGGCATGTTGGACAACTAAGGGCCTTCTTTTATGTTGGATAGCTGAGTATGGTACTAAGGTGGCCCATAGTGACCAGATGAAGTTTTTAGCCACATCCATTTTAACCTCAATAAATGGGGAGGAAAATCAATGAGGGGAATTCACATTCACCCCACACCCATATAAAAGCATGATGATAAATGACAGAAGATGCTTTAGGCTCACTCACTGTTACTGCTTCCTTCTCCCAAGCACAGTACTTGAACAGTCTGTGTTTTTACACAAGGTGCTGTTTCATGCAGACTCTTACAATTCTAGGATCAATCAAGGTGCCGTTTCATGCAGACTCTTACAATTCTAGGATCAATGAAAGGTAGTTGAAGGTGAAATCCAAACTGACAGAGGAAAGGAACATTTTCTGCTATTGTTACATAGTATTAATATGACCCAAATGAATGTTCTTATCAGGAGACCAGCTTTGTAGCTATTAGTATTGCCAGCTGGACTGGAACATGGCGGTTGGGTCTTGATGAATATGGGATTTTTCCCTCCAATAATAAAACAAATGCCCTCTCTTCCTAAAGGACTTGACATTGACCAAATGGCAGGTGTTTGTCAGACACTGCCTGCAGCAATTCTTACTGCTGCACCAGATCAAGCTGCACCAAAGAAAAGACTATTAAGTGTCTGGGGACCCAGATAACAGACAACAATGATAATTCATGTGGACAAAGGTAGAGGACTGTGATGCTTGCTGGGATTAAGTAGGAGGCTAAGAACTGGCTTTGTTATACCCAACAACGTGATCACAGAGACTCATTTTAAATGTCATGAGACCTGAAAAAATAGGATCATTTGCCTGGTACCTAAGATTTCTCAAGATTTTTGTCCTTGAACTATTCTGAAGTCAAAATTAATGTTGAAATTATTGTTGTGTAGTTTTTTATTGCCAGATGAAATAAAGGCACTGGACGTTTGCAGAGCTAGGACTGGATGCCTTATGGGACTGATTATAGGATAAATTGGCTTTTGTAACTGTGTAGTCCATCTGAATCCTGTCCACTGTGGTAGAGAATGAAAGGCACTGCTGTTTGTCAGCAAAGTGATTGATTTAAATTAATGGAGTACAGTGCCTAGTCCACATCATGAAACCA